CCAGGAAACACAGACCTAAGGTCCAGGTGCCCCGAGACAGGCAGGCTCACCGCTGCCACTCCTGGCAAGCAGAAAGCAGGCTGGGGCAGGTGAGGCCACCCTGCAGGAGTCCCGACACAGCTAGGGGCCCAGGGACAGGAGTGACCCTGTATATGGCAGGGCTGGGCCCTGAGGGACTGTGCTGCCCAGTGGCTCCTTGGCTGGCACAGCTGGCTGCTCGCCCCTGCACAAGTGCATTCCTGTGGCACCATCTCAGCTGCACTTCAGAGGGAGAAACCAGGCAGGGGGAACACATGACTCCTGAACTGCAGTCTGGTCCCTGCCAAAGGCCTGGTGGACCCCAGGATGTCTGAAACCAGGGCCTGCTAGACACAGATCCCCTGGGGCCTGGGCAGCCCTCACCTTGATGGCATGGATGCCAGTGCCCAAGGGAAGCAGGGTTAGGTCCACAGGCCCCTGCCACCCTGGGGAAGAAGGCACTGTAGGGCAGGTGTGCAGTCCTAAAGATACAAAGCAGAAACAGCTGGGCAGGCAGCAGCTGGGCAGTCTGGGAAGTCCTGGCATTGGGCCACACCAGCTCTAAGGTCACATGCCCAGCTTGGCACTCCCAGGACCTCTCAGGCCCTGCCAGGACAGGTGGGAAGATGGCCAGAATAAGGAGGGGCTTTGCCAGCCACACAGGAAGTAAAGTGAGCCTCCACTGTATGGCCGCATGAGGCCGAGTGGGGGCCCAGGCTCAGGGCTGCCCGCCCACTTGCCAGCAGCCACCCTAGCCAATGCTTTCTTGCAGCAGGCACTGTACTGCTGAGATCCCTGCCAGGAGACCCCGCCAGAGGCCCACAGCCACTGTCTGGACAAGTCAGCCTGCTGCAGCCTCACAGACGCAGAGCTGTGTCTGCGACACGGGATGGTTGCCCCAGCCCTCATACTGCACTCCCCTGCAACTCCCCCCACAGCTGGGGTCAGGGCTTCAGGCCACGTCTCAGACGCCAAATTCCAGATGGAGCTGCTCCCCCACAAACTTGTAAGCCCCTGTGTCAAGTGCAGTTGCCCCCACCTGCATCACTAACCACACACCCGCAGCAGCTGGTACACTCCCGCGTCTGCCCCCAGGCCAGGAAGGCCAGCCCTGCTATCAGGGACCCTCGGCCAACCTGAGCCCTGAGTGGGTGACAGCATGTGAACACCCCAGGCACCTCCATCCCACCAGCCAGAACTCATACCCCAGGGAGCTGATAGTGCCTAGGCTACCCTTGCCCCAGCTGGACCCTGTGTCCCCACCCTGGTCAGTTCAGAACTGCAAAGGCTCTGCACAGACCTGGTCAGGCCTACAGGGAGGATGGTTCTATCCTCCCAAGCAAGCACCCCAGGACACTTAGCTCAGCCTGGGGACACAACGACCCAGAGGACCCAGGGGAGTTCGTGAGCAGGTGCTGTCACCACCCTGGACCTAAGGCAGAATCCCAGACCCAGCCTGGAAAGGCCAGAGGCCACCGGACAGGCAGGCGGCTACAACAGCCAGGCCTTGGGAACCTCCTGCGGGTGGGGCCTGCTCCCCCAGGCGGGGCTTAGAACACTGGCCCTCAGAGATGGCAGAACAAGGCCTGACACAGTCCCTGCTTTGTCCCCGCCTCAGTCCCAGCCCAGCCTCCATTCTGTCCAGGGCCTGGGGTGGCTGGCCCCACAGCACTGCTGTACTCCAAGGCCTCCTCTCTGGAGCTGGCAGGCCACTGGTGCTGCCTCTAAGAGCCTGAGCCCCCAGGATGTCACCCCAAAGAGCTGAGGGGTCTCCACGAGGGTGGCCTCCCACTGCTCCCATGAGCACCTGCTGCAGGCCGCCCAGTCACAGGTTTTCCAAACAACTTGGCCCCAGTACTGCCCGGCACAGGCCTTCAAGGGCTTGCCAGCCATGAGAAGGACACTCCAGGGCAAGGCACTCACAGCCGGGAAGATGAGGTGCACAGCTGCCTGGGGATCCCACAGACACAGAGCAAGGACAGGGCTAGTGCAGGCAGCCCCTGCTGGCCTCACACTGTCTCCGAAGTAACCAGTGTGGGGACTCGGGATATGGCGGAGTTCACGCACTGGCGACAGCCCCTTCAAGGAGAGGCCCTGTCACCTTTGGCAGCAGGGAAGTCCAGCCCAGCTCACCTCTGCAGCATGCCTCGACAACCTAGCCATGGTCACCCCCAGCCTCCAGAGGCTCTGCAGGGAACAACTGCCCTCGAGGCTCAGGGCAGCAAGCAGTGCAGTGGGAGCTGCCACTGACAGCCCAGGCCCAGGCTCCCCATGAGCAGAGACCCAGTCAGCACCACCCACTCTGCCAGCCCAGCCACAGCCACACCCAAGACCAGGCCTTGAGGAGGTGGTGAATCGCCCCAGCTGCCCCGGTGGGCTGTCTCACCTGCCTCCCCCTCTCCTGTCCCATTCTCACTTCCCTCCTCCTGTCACCTGTCACCGGTCTCTTCCTGTCCTCCCTGCCTCCCCCTCACCTGTCCCATCCTTGCTTGTCCCACCTATCTGACTCCTCCTGTCACCAGTCCCATCCTTCCCACCCCCACTGTAGCCCACCAGCTGCCAATGCTCCATACCAGTTGTTCCCCAGGACCAAAGGGACAGGGGAATTTAAGGCCCGTCAGCCTGGCAGCCCAGCCCAGTGCCTCTGTGCTTGTGATCCAGTCAAGTGAGTGGGAGGGGAGGCCCTGTCCCCATCCCCAGCAGGCCCCGGAGCAGGTGAGGGGCCCTGTCTGCCACCTATTTCCACAGGGCACCCAGATACCACAGACTGTGGGGTCTGGGCCTGCTCGGGGAGGGGAGCTCAGGTCTAGGTGGAGAGGTTCCCAGCTCATTTACTGACTGACAGAAGGATGAGGCCACATGCCCTTGGGGACCTGCACCACGTACCCCTCCCCAGGCTGTAGATAGACCTCCATGTCAGATGCATGTCCTGGCAGCTCTGATGCCTATCTCACCACCTGTCCTGGCAGAGGCTGGACAGATGTCTCCTGGTCAGGGATAGCAATGGAGCCCTCACAGTGGAGCCCTCACAATGGACCCCTGCCCCAGGGCCTTGAACAAGTCTCTGGGTCCAGAGTCTTCTGAGGCTGCTAAGTGTTATCCAGGGTATGCCCTCGGCCATTGTGTAGCTTGCAGGGGACACACCTGGGCAAAAAGGCAACGACAGCAGCCATCACCAGGCCAGCTGAGGCAAGGTCAAATGCCATCACAAAGGGACAGAAACCACTCACAGGGCCAAGGCCACCCAGGCTGAAGATGCAGAGACAGAGGAACCGTATACCACCCTCCAGCGGCCCAGCCTCCCTCAGGCTGCCAGTGCCAGCGACCATCCTGCCCAGCCACCTAAGGAACAGCTTCATCAGGAAAGACATGGACAGGGGGTGCAGAGAAAGACGAGGAGGACCAAAATGCCCCTGGCTCACAGGCACAAGGCCAGTGGGAGCTGGAACCACCACATATGGCCTCTACAGCTGCCCAACAGGCACAGGAAACCCCAGGACAGAACTCCCTCGGGCTGCCCACCAAGGCTGCATGGCAGGGGTCCTGACCTGCTCTGGGACAAAAGGCCACTGCACTGCCCGCACAGGCTCAGGGCCAGGCCCCCAAGACAGCAGCATGGTGGGAAGGTGGCACACATGCGCCCTGCAGCCATCAGGACTTGAGAGGGCACCACTGCCTGCAGCTGCTCAGGCTGGTTTCTAAAGTTGCACCATGTGCCCTGGTGACAGCCACCAGCAGTCAGGCTGGGAGCCTCCTGCCATGAACCCAGCTCCAGAGCAGAAACACAGCCTTGGGTTCAGCGCCTGCCGGCATCTCCTGAACACCTAGGCTCTTCACTGTAACACTATACTGGTACAGTAATTAGGACGTTGCCTCCAGCATTTTGCTGCCGTGGGTCCTCTCTTTACCAAAAGCCTCCCATCTCCCTGCTCCCAGGACATTAAGCACCAGCTGCCTGCACCTCCCAAGGCCTGCCTGCCTCCCAAGGCAGGCCCGACACTTCTCTACCTCTGCCTCAGTTACATCACAGCCCAGGCTGGCCCACTTTCTTCCCAGAGGCTGCCTCCCCCTCAGTCTCCTGTGGCTCTGGGGTGCTTGTGAGGCCCCCACCAGTGAGAGCACCCTCTTGCTCTCCTGGACCTGCCAGGCTCTAGGACCTTTTCCTACAGGAAGGAGAAATGCTCTGTGGTGATCCGACCTCCGGGGCCCGGGAGACAGGCCAGTCCTGGGAGAAGAAAGAAAATGGCTGAGTCCCAGTCTCCGACAAAGAGGTCAGGAACGCGCCGGGCTGGCCAGGCAAGGGGGCTGGTCCAGGCCGGGCCAGCAGCCAAACGCGAGGGTCGCGGTGCTCACAGCTGGCCGCGGGCTGGGACCCACCAGCACCGGTCCCGGCCTGGGACGGGGGGCCAGGATCGGCTGGAACCCCCCTCCTTAAAGGCTCAGGTGGCTCAGGCTCCAGGCAGATGGTGGCAGCGGTCACCCTTTCCCTCCCTTGGGGAGCGCAGTGCCGCAGCCCTCGGGTTCCCGTAGCGCGAAAGGCGCTGTCCAGCCGCGCTCTGTCCTGCACTCTACCGGCCGAGCAGGGGCGTCTGCCGGCCTGCCGCGGGCGGGGGGTCGCGCCTGGCGCAGCTGCTCGGGCGCAGCCCATTAGCGGCTGGCCGCGGGGATGGCAGATGGGCCTGGCCCCCGCCTCCGCCGCACAATGGCCCGGCGCTCGCGCGCGCACAATGCGGCCGCCGCACCTGCAGCGGGCCCGACCGTGCAACCGGGCCCGTGCACCCCAGGCCTTGCCGCGTGTCCTTGACCGCGCCCGGCTGCCTGCAGCCTGCGAGGCTCCGCAGGGCCCGGGGTACACGGGCCGGGCCATTGTTCGCGGTCGCTGGGCCGGGCCGGGCTTGCAGCATCGCAGCCCGCGGCCTCCCGCCAGCCCCCCCGGCCCCGCCCGGCCCCGCACCCGGCCCGGCCCGCGCCCACGCACGTACCTGTCTGCCCCTTGCCCAGCGTCTTCTCCAGCCGGTAGGGCCCTACATACTGCGCGTGCTGCGCCCCGCCGCCGTCCTTCCCCGTCGATGTCATCGCTCCCGGGCCCGCGCCGGCGAGTGGGCGCCCGCGCGCGGGCTGGGAGGGGCCGGCAGCCGTGCGTCCGCGTCCACCGAGCGTCGTCCGCGCTGACCGGGCTGGCGGCGCCTCCAGGCGGGCCCCGCTGCTCTGCGCCCCCGCCGCGCCCCGCCGCCCCCCCCCCCCCGGCGCGCGCGATCGGGATGCGCCCGTCTGAGACCCGGCCGCAGCGATGCCTCCACCTCGTTGAGAGGACAGGGCGGGCGGGGGCAGTAGGTTTCCGCCGCCGCCGAGGCCCGCGCCCCGCGTCCCGCGCCCCGCGCCCCCCGCGCACGCCCGTCCTCGGCCGCGCAGCCGAGAGCCGAGCCCAGCCGAGCAGCCGAGCCTAGCCGAGTACCCGAACACCCGAGCCTAGCCGAATAGCCGAGCGCAGCCGAGCCTAGCCGAGCCGAACCAAGCCGAGCAACCGAGCCCAACTAGCCGAACGGCCGAGCCGAGGCGAGCCCGTGCTAGCACTGCGGTTTGCAGCAACGACTGCGAGTGGTTCCTGCACCAGCCAATCAGAGGCGGAGCCCAATCCGCACCGCCCACAGTCTGTGCTCCGCCCTCTTCTCCAGGGCTCACCTAGGCCTCCCTAAAGAGGGAAGGCTGAGATGCTGCCGGGTAGATGGGTCAGGACAACTTCGTACCAAGTACCGTTCAGGCTTCCACCGCAGGGAGGAGGTGCGGGTGGTGAGGGGTTGGTCACCACCAACCCCTTGGCCTGGTGCTCAGAAGGGGTTTCCTGCCCCTTGCAGCATGCCGCGAGCACAGGTGAGGTAACGCATGGAGGCTGGGATGCTGCAGGCTTGACAGTGTTGCATGTGGGTTGGAGTGCTGCTGCACGTGGGCTAAGGAGGCCACATGCAGGCTGGGGTGCTGCACAGAGGTGGAGTACCGCATGGAGGCTGGGGTGCTGCACGTGAGAGGGCAAGGTGGTGCATGAGGGAGAGTGGGAGTGCTGCAGGTCGAGGTGCCTGGTCTTGGCCCTCAAAGGTGGAGTTTGGAAGCCTTCCCTCAGCACTGCACCTGCCCTGCGAGAAGAAGGGACGGCATTTACTGGCTATGATATGTGAGACAGCATAGCAGGGCCAGGGAACTCGCAGGGTCACACCTCAGCCTCGGCACCACCTCAGCCTGGGTGCCACCTCAGCCTCGGCACCTCCCACCTCTCTGCTGCAGAGCTTTCCTCCTTCGAGCTCGGCCTGGTCTGGGGCTGGAGACACCCAAGATCTAGAGCAGCGCCTGGAAGACCTGTGACCCTCAGTCCCATCTTTGAGGCAGCCAGACCTCTGTTTCTGATGGAAAAGCGCTGAAGTTTCCTTAAGCTGCAGAGGGTGATGGGAGGGAGTGAAAGGGAGAGACCAGGCCTGCACGTTCAGCAATCCCTGCCTGTGGGCCCCTGGGGCAGCTGTGGTGACCAGAGTGGTGCTGGGTCCACAGCGAGCTGTGGATGCTGAGAGCTCACTACAGACCTGCTGCCACACTGCCCACCACCCCTGCAGTCCTGGGGAACAGCTGAGCCTGGGCACTGCCTACCCTGTAGAAGGCCAGTGGAGAGCCCGTTGGGCTGATTGTGTTTCCCACCCTCAGAAAAATGGTCCCCTCCTCACATCGCCTGACATCTAAGTGCTGGGCCACAGGACTGGCACTGCCAGGCAGAGCCTGCTGGGTTAGGGATGCATCAGTGGAGTGGAAGCAGAAGGGTGGCCTGGGGTGCTGTTCTTGTGGCTTCGCTGGATTTAAGGGATGTTTGGGACCTCGTGTGGCAAAGTCATCAGCTGTCTGCTGGAGCCCAGGTATAGGAGTTCCAGAGCCCAAGAAGGGCCCTGCAAGGACCCCCACGGGCTTCCTCCTGCCCACTGGTATCCTCTGGGCCACTGGCCTGTCCATCCCAATTCACATTGTTCTGGTGTATTTAGCAGCAGTTGGCCTGCTTCCTGTCCTGGTTGGGTCACCAAACTCCCATCTTTCAGCGTCTGCCCTTCCTGCAAGTGCAGTCCAACCCACCCCAGGTCCCCAGACTTCCCTTTTTTCTCTCTGGCCACCAATTCTTTCTGAGTCTCTGCTGTCCACTTTCTCCAGAGTCTCCAGAGTCTGAGGTCTCTTCAGACCTGCTGGGCATGGTGGTGTCTTCTCAGCCTTCTGCCCTGCTCCCGAGAACCGGGCAGAAGTTGCCATTACTGGTCCTCCCCAGGTCCAGGACTGTGGGGCCTGCTGAGCCCCACCCTGTCCTGTCACGGCAAATACAAATTCTCAAACTTCGCCTTCATGGCAGCTGCTAGTCTCCTCTCTGTGTTTGGAGTCAACGGTGCAAGCTCTTGGTCCAGCAGGCCTTAGTGCAGAGATGGCCCAGAAGGGAAATGCCAGGACAGGGTACAGACACAAAGGCCACAGCTTTTGGGGCCCCTCTTGGTCACGTCATGGGACCAGAGTTAGAAAAGGCCCTGGGGGGCTGGGGATTTAGCTCAGGGGCATTAGCTCCTGCCTTGCAAGCAGGCAGTTGTGAGTTCGATCCCCGGTAACCGATAAAAAGGAAAAAGACAAAAAAAAAAAAAAGAAAAGAAAAGAAAAGGCCCTGGCTCTTGAAGAGGCCCCTGCACTTATAGGACACTAGCATGCTAGGTGACCATCATGACCCTAGTACCAAAACCAGACAGGCCACAACAAGAAAAGAACATGGAAGCCCATTGCATCTCATGAGCCTAGGCACAAAAACCTTCAACATTAGCAAGTTGATCCCAGCAGCACGCTGATGAAACATACAAGTCTGTGGGCCTTTGCAGGAATGGAACAAGTTAACCTTTCAAAACCATTTGATATAACATACCATCCACAGACCCAAGCAGAAAAACCATGCAATTCTTTTGATAGATACAAGAAAGAGCATTTGACAAAAAACACCGTTCAAGATAGACCTCTGCATGGACAGCAGTGGAAGGGTACTCCTCACTCCCTCCAGCTGATACGTGAAAGTGCAGAACCCAGCATGAAGACGGCCACAGCAAGGCTGCTCTGCCGCCAGCCAGGAGGAGGGAGGCTCACTGCGCCCATCTTGTCCAGTCCCTCGGTGTGAACAGGTGTTGGAGGACAGGGCCATGTAATTAGAAAGGAAAACCAAAGTCATCCTGTGGGAGGCAAAGATTGAAATACGCTTTGTTCACAGGTAATTCCAGCATTCTGGGGGGCTGAGGCAGAAGGATGGGAAGATCAGGCACAACCTGCCCAATTTAGTGACATCATGGTCCCATACCTCAAAATTTTAAAAAGGTTGGGGGTGTGGCAAGGTATGAAAGCCCTAAGGTTGATCCCCAGTACAGCAAAAAAGCTAAATGAGTTTACCAAGACAGGTTACCAATTCCCACCCCTCATAACCAGCTGTTCTTTGCACTAACAATGAACATTTGAAATGATAAATACAACTCCATTTAAAATACAATTTTTAAAACGCTGAATACTTAGAAGTAGGTTTTATGAAATATGCCTGAGACCTCTACACAGAGAACTAAAATACCACTGAGAAGGATACTAAGACTTCATTAGAGTCACAGCATCTCCCTGAATTTCTAGGAACAATCTTGTTAAGTAGTTGTCCCCAAATTTATGAATTAAATACAGTTTCAGTCAGAAGTACAGCTAAGTTTGGTTTATATATTTTGTTTTAGAAATTGATAAGCACATTCTAAAATTTAAAATAACTACAAAAGACCTGGAAATGGCCGAATGGTTCTCATGAACAAGCTAGTATGCTCAAGCTACCAGAATTAATGTCTTTTGGGGAAGCTACAGACATTTAAACTGTGGTATTTGTAGGGGACTGGTGATCAACTTAAACACCAACTGAACTGAATCCGCATGGTGCTGAGAGTAGATGGCCCACCGGAGGACTGCTGCCAGCATAAAAAGGAGACCTAGAAAGGGAAGGTAGTGTTGTAGGTACTCCCAAGTGGTAGTGTTTGGAGCTGTTGGTTCTCGTGATATAAACTCCGCTGTTATCATCCGAGCTCGGGGCCTTGTTGCTGCGAGTGGCTGTGGTTCACTTAGGGGGAGCTCTGGTCCTTACTTTGAGCATTGTTTTCTGCCTATGGAGAGGAAGATGTGTGCTGTTTAATCTCCAGGATAAGCTTGTTACCTTGGCTTCCTGGTACAAATTCAGCTGTTATCATCATCGGAGGAGCTCAGGACCTCATTGTCACTGAGGATGGCTATGGTACTTTTCAGGGGAGCCCTTGTTCTTATTTTGAGCATTGCTTCTTGGCTCCAGTACAGAACCCAAAGCTTGCTGGCACAGATCCTTCACCCTGCTGGCACAGACTTTCTAGCTTCCACTGCTGACTCTTTGGACCTTCCCAGTGCAGATCCGTAGGATAGACTCATGTGGGTCATTGTCATGGGCTCCAAGTTTTCAGCTGAACCTATGCAGGTTATTGCCATGGGATCCAGGCCCTCAGCTGGATTTTCTAGGTCTTTAGTGTTCTGGACAGATTCCCTGCACTTTCTTTGAATTTGGTTCCTTGGTGATCATTATATAATTGTTCTCCTTGCAACCCCTGACGACAGCAGTATTGGTTTACAGATAGACATATAAATCCAAAAATGAGCTTAGAAACTATAAATAAATTTTTTTCTTGTTGTTGGTTTTGTGGATGTCTTTGCTGTTGTTTTCATTCTTTGAGACCAAGTAGCCCAGGCTGGCTTCCAAATCTCAAAATCCTCCTGTGTCAGCCTCCCAAGCCTTGGGATTACAGGCATGTACTACCAGACCCAGATTTAAAATAGATTCTTATGTAGTTTTTGATGCTGGGTATTAAAACCAGGGCCTTGGCACTGAGGTATGTCCCCATCCGCTTTTTATTTTTTATTTGGAGACAGGATCTCACCCATTTGCTAAATTGTCTAGGCTGGGTTCAACCTTTTAGCACTCCTGCCTCAGCCTCTCAGAGCATGCCTGGCTGACAACAGGTTTTCAATTGGTGTTAAAATAATCCAGTGGAAAAAAGATTGATATCACAACCAAAGATGCTGAAACAATCCAATATAACATTCCACATGTAAAGAAAGAACTCACCCTATATACAAATATTAATTAGATTAGCTAGCTAATGATAATAAGTACTAACTAGAAGTGATCTGTAGGCCTAAGAATTATAAGTTTAAAACTTCTAGACTAAAAGATAGACAAATCTTTGTGTGCTTGGATTAACCAAAGATTTCTTGGCTAAGTTGCAAAAAAGCACAAGCTATAAAATAAAAGAAAAATAGTAAACTGGACTTTGTTGAAATTAAAACCATGTTTCAAAAGTCATTGTTAGCAAAATGAAAAGCTGCAAAGAAAGAAAATATTTGCAAAATTGTATCACTGAGGGCCAGGGACATTATAGCCCAGCAGCATAAGTGCCTGCCTGGCAAGTGCAAGGTCCTGAGTTCCAATTCCCAGTACCAAAACAAGAAAGGATTAAAAAAATATATGTGCACATGTAAAGATTATATATCTGGGTGCCAGAATCCTTACTTTTTAAATATCCTCACCCTGTGCAAGAGGAAGGCATGGAGATTTTGTGAGTACTGCACCTGCCCTGGAGGGGGTGGGGGTGGCCTGTGTACAACATAAAGGAGGAGAAGAGGCTTGTTTTCCCCCTTTTGCCCTGGTTGTTGCCTTGAAGTGCTGACCCTGTGCCATGCCACCCTGCCTTGGAGCCAGATGACTATGTACTGAAACCTCCACAAACAGTGGACTAAATAAACCTTTCCTTCCTTCATTCTGGGTGTTGAGTATTTTGTCCCAGCAGTGAGAGAAAAGTAACAGAGACACTATGATAGGACACATGTATCTAGTATATATAGAGCATCCTCACAACTCAGAAATAGGCAGATAACTGGACGAAACCATTAGACAGAACACTTCAAGCAAGAAGAGATGTGGATGGCAGGTAAACTCATGAAGAAATGCTTCTGTCATCAGATGCAGGAGAAGCAAAACAGTGGAGAAGGGAGGCTACGTGGGTGCCCGGTGCCAAGCACCAGAACCCCTACCCTGTGCTGCTGGCCACAGTGGACGCAGTTGGCTGTCTTCTGATCAGCTGGACTTGGGCCTCCAGTCGCACTTGCCCTGCCTTGGCCAGTGTCTTAACAGCAGCCCGGCCCCTTGCTGGCTCTTTTCTTCTGTGGCTGTCTCAGCTCCACATGGCCAGTGTCACCGTGTGCTCTTCTCATCACCTCCAGCCCATCTCTGTCCACCGATCTCAGCTCTAGGACACCAGGTCCTTGTTTGGCCCCTGGGCAGATCACAGGAGGCCAGTACATGGCAGGTGCTCAGCACGTCAGGAGACGTGATGGACATCTTGCCTTGCAACAAATATCCCTTTGCAGTGTCACTTTGGCAACGCCATTGCTCGATGCAGCATCTGTAACTGTGGAGGGAGATGCTAGCCCCTTTCTGTAGCTGTAACAAAATAGCCAAGGCTGGTCCTTAAAAGAGAACTTGATTTAGCCAACTAATTTGGAGGCTGAAAGTCCAAAAAGAGCATTTGAGGGCTCACATGTAACACTGAGAGAGGCCACAGGGAGGGCTGATGGCAGGTGGGAGGCGCCATCACCTCCTCCGGCCTGGCCCTCCACTGCAGGTCTGACTGTCCTGTGTCCTTATGGCCACTGCTGGGCTTCCCTGGGTCATCAATAGTCACCCACAGAGCCTTGGCTGGGCTCCCAAAGTGAAATGTGCTTATGGGAACAAACCCTGAGCCACTGCCCTCTGTGGGTAACCCCAGCGGGTATGGAGGTGCCTATGCCCAGGGGCTCAGGGCATATGCCCAGGGGCTCAGCACTGAGAGGTATAAACAGGCCACTTCCTGGGGCTCCTGTTGTCTCCAGTGGCCCTGCCTGTTATCCAGTTGGTCCCCAAGCCACTGGCCTGAGGGTTCTACTGACAACTTCTCTGTAGCCCCAGCCCCACTATATCCCAGGCACAGGCACACGGGGTCTGTGTGGGCCTGGCTTGTGTGTGTCTAGTTAGTGCCCTGTGCTGTAAAAGGTGACATCTGGCTGAGCCCAAGGCCAAATGGTGCAGGTTCCATGGCAGAGGACAGACAGTGACTCAGAGATGGGGAACCCAGGCTCAGCCCAGCCCAGGAGGCCTGGTGCCTCAGTGGGAGGTGTCCAGAGTCAGACAGCCATGCTGCAGTTGCACCAAGGCCCAGTGGGTGTGGGGAGGTCAGGTGCCCCTGCTTGCTTCTCCATCCCGCCTGTCATTCCACAGACACTGGGACAAGAAAGAAAAAAAGATGGGCTGGGGATTTAATTCAGTGGCTTATGTGCTTGCCTAGCAAGTGTGAGGTTGTGAGTTCAATCCCTGGTACCAAAAAAAATTTAAAAAAAAAAAAGAAAGGAAAAAAGGTGTGTAGCCCAGGCCCCCAGGGAGTGGCTGTGGGATGGTGCAAGTGTGGGGCCGTGATGGTCATCCACTAAAAATCTCATGATTTTATGTACATTTTACCATGATTAAAAAATGTGAAAAACAGCCAGGAGTGGTGATGCACTCCTGTAGTACCAGTACTGGAGAGGCTGAGGCAGGAGAATCATTGCAAGCTCCAAACCAGCCTGGGCTTTAAAGTGAGTTCAAGACCAACCTGAATTACACAGCGAGACCCTGTCTCAAAAAGACAAAAAAAAAAAAAAAAGATGAAAAACAGACTGTAGAAAAGACGAGAATCACATTCTCATAATAGTGCTTTGGTTCCTTTCTGCCTGTGCTTGCTGGGACGCGGGTACACTCGGGGAGCCCTGGGACCTCACAGCCAGGCCCCAAGGCATGCAGTGCTTACGGAGCATCAACCCCTTCCTTGGGCAGCAGCCCTGTGCCCCGACCTGCAGAGAGGTAACCACAGCAGAAGGCAGGTGGGGGACGCTAGCCCCACCAGGAAGGCAGCTCACAAGTTCAGGGATACCCCGCTGCATGGTCCACGCATGCACAGTGAGTGCAGGAGGCGCACAATTTCTCCCCTGCCTCCCATGGACAAGCCGACACAGGAAGCCAGGGTTGAGGCCGCTGGGCCAGGCAGGCCAGCATGGATCCTGTGCGCTGTTGGGTGGCAGGTTTCTGGAGACGAGATGTTACCCGTGTCATCCTGTGATGTCATAGCATGACTGTGTCTGCTCTTGCTTAGTGTGACAGCTTTGAGGCCAAGGTGAGTTCCAGCCATGAGACTACCCTGCCTCCCCTCCAGTTGGCTGTCTGTAATGTGACCCTTTATTGATCGCTGCACTTTTGTTTTTATTTTATTATTATTACTTCATTTTTATTACAACTATTTGCTTTTCAGAGTTGGGAGAACTACACCCAGTACTCTCCTGGGCCCCAGCCTACTGAAGCAGACCCCTCTGGTGGGAGGAGGAGAAACTGCTCATCGTCATGCAAATGTTAATAATTACACTTCACACAGCTGAGGGAGTGGCTAAGTAATCTGCTTTCCTCTCCTCCACACCTAAATGGATGGCAGGTTTCTGTTTCTGCAGGATCTGCATTCATAAATGGCCTTTTGTCTTGGTCATCTCTACCCCACAGTTCTCCTGTGGTCCTGACTTGACCCACTTCCCAAGTGATGCCTGAGGGTGGGTTGCCTGGTTGTCATGGTTACCAGGCCTGCATCCTGTGATTCTATCCCTCCCAGCTCCTCAGAGAAGCTTCAGCCCCACCCTGCCCTAGAGCCTGTCCTCGGATCTTCAATCCTTGTCCTGCAGCCACCTCACCCTGCCTTGAGAGGGCACTCCCCAAGAAGGACTAGCAGGTGTCACCCACCCCGGTGTGGTTCAGGTTTAGCCATTCTCTGGTCACCTGCAGGCCTGGGCAGGGGAGACATATCCATGAGTGTGTGGCACCAGGCAGGACTTCTCAAAGGCAGGCTGACAGGGGACATGTGGGGACAGACATACAAGGATGGGGGACTCAGGGAAGAGACCCTGTCTTCAAGCCAAGGATTGAGGTCTCAGGAGGAGCCAGCCCTGCTGCATGGGGCACCCTGCCCTCATAGGGCCAGCCCCTGTCACTGATCTCAGGTCCCCTCCCTAGGACAGGTGCCCCCTGGAGCAGGTATCAGTGCTGGGTGTGGCCTCATGACTTGTGACATGCAGTAACAGTGTGGAGACCATGGGGGCCTCACAGTGGTAGTAGACAGTGCCCTGGTGCTGCCAGGAGCTGCTGTGGGTCTCTGCCTCCACTCTGTTGTGCCCTCTCCGCCTCCCTGACCATGTGCCTGGGCTGGCCTCACACCTAAAGACTGACGGTCACATCTGCTGTCCCTGGGCCCTGGCAGAGCAGTGGAGACAGCACAGGGGTAGCATCTGCTGGAGCAGGTCAGCAGTCTGCCTGCACTGTGAATAGCAGGTGGAGGGAGCCAGGCGGGTGGGGCTGCAGCAACTCTCTAAACAGCGATGGCAGCCACCTCTTCCCCTCCCCCCAGGTGTTGTCACCTGTCAGAGGGGCCAGGCCTAAAGTCCCCGCCCTAATGCCCCTTAGCACCTCAGTCTCCATAAAACTGGTTAACGCTGAGCAGGATTTGAGGCCCAGCAGCTGAGAGAGGATTAGGAAGCTGAGCCTCCTGTGTGTGGATCAGTGGGTTGGTCCCCTCAGTCAAAACAACCTTTCTTCCAAGCCCCAATCCTAAAAGCAATTTTCCTTCAAATCAGCGTTCCTGGTCATGGAGCCAGGTCAGGCCTGAGACTGTCAGTGGTGACTCTGGCCTCATCTGACCAGCTGGCCATCCTGGCACAGAGCATTGGAGCCTCAGTCTTTGAGTGGGGCCTAGGGCTCCCAGGGATAGAAGGCTGGTCACCTTCGTGCACTGGTGCAGGTGGGGCGGGACTGCCCTGACCTGCCTGGTGCTTTCAGCCTGGCAGTGTTGCAAGGTATCCAGGCCTGGGGAGCTCACTCCCTGACAGAGGAGGCTCCAGCCCATCCTGGGATACAGAGACAGGTAATCCTACTCATGGGATTGTACTCCAAGAGGTATGGAAGGCCACTGTCTGCTCCCCAAGGTCCCTGGGGGAGCAGGCTTGCACACTAAGCAGCTCTGGCCAAAGCAAGGACAGGGAGGGGTCTCACCCTGTTGAGATGGGTCCCCACTACAGGTGATAGTAGGGGCCCCCAGTTCCTGGGGCTCCCTCTAGCTGACTCAGAGGTAGAGTGAGGCAGCAGCCAGGAAGCTAGCATCAGCCTAGCATTCGGAGGTGTGTCCCCAGGCCTTCCTGGCATCCGAAGCTGGAGCCCCAATCTAGGGATTGGGGAGACTCCTGGCCTGATAGACCCTAATAGACCCAAGGCCAAGGCCTGATAGACCACCAGGCCAAGGTGCAGCCTTGCCCAGGCCAGGGCCACAGGGCGGAGGTGGTACCCAGCGAAGCCCTCTCCCCACCTCTTTCTGTGATGTCACAGTTTTGTGTGTCTGGAGTTCTGTGTTCTCTCTCCTAGGCCCAGGGAGGACATAGGATGAGCTGAGGTCAGACCCTTGTCTATAGGGGTCCCCCGTCCTGGAAAGACTGCAACCAGATGAGCCTGGGGTCTGCAGGGCTTGGGTCAGGATGGCATTGAAGCCCTTGAGAGTCCTGGAGGGCTGAGGGAGCCCATGCTGTCCTTTTGGGACCTGGATAGGATGAGGGAGATGGTGGGTCTGAGATGGAATTGGGTGGATGTAGGATCTGGGAATGCTGCAGGCCCCCCAGAATTATCCCCTTAGGGATAGGGCACTGCCTGTCTGCCTGGGCCTGT